TTTTTCTTATTACACAAATGTTATGTTATGTTTGTTTGTTTGTTTGTTTTGTGGAGTTTTTGTTGTCAAATGTTTTGTTTTATAATTTTAGAACTGTAAGCCATCCAGAGTCACTTAGTTGAGTTGGGCAGCTATAGAAATTGAATGAATGAATGAATGAATGAATGAATGAATGAATGAATGAATGAATGAATGAATGAATGAATGAATGAATGAATGAATCTCCAAAACCAAAGCACCCAAACAACCTGAATGGTCAATTGCCTGATCTGCATCCTCAATTCTTTACTGCCTGGGCTTTAAAAACTCAAGGAGATCATGAAGAGGAAAAGTGACTGTATACATCTCGAGTTCCTTCTCCTCAAATGAACTTCCTGAGTACTTCCCATTAGACATCTGCATTAGTTGTCAGTGTATTTCCAAGTTTGCTTCAAGATGTTATTTCTGACTAATATAGTCCTAACTGAATTTAACACAAATATCTCAGCAAATATATTTGAACTTCTGTAATTTGGTTTCCTTCAAATTATTATGGAATACTATCACTCCTAGAATTGCCAGCTTGCACAAAGATCAATAAAATTGGGGAACTCTTGACAGCTTGTGTTCATTTGTCATGTCTCAATATGCCATCTTATCTAGTTTAATTTGAGTCAATCAGAACTCTAGGACATATTTTAAAATCTGGAGAGGTTTTCTCCAATTTGACAACATCTGAATGTATGACTAAAGCTTTCCAGATATTCCCAGAATACCATGGGAATACCTGGGAAGCCTAGTGGTTAGAATGCAGTATTGCAGGCTAACTTTGCCCACTCCCAGGAGTTTGATCATGACTGGTTCATGGTTGATTCAGACTGCCATCCTTCAGAGGGCGGTAAAATGAGAACCCAGATTGTTGGGGGCGAAATGCTGACTCTGTAAACTGCTTAAAGCAGCAGCCCCCAACCTTTTGGGCACCAGGGAACAATTCCAGATAGGTGTTTCCGCAGACCAGAAGGGGCACAGTTTCACATGCTGCCTGCATCCCACAGATCGGGCTTTGCTTATTTTTGTGGCCCGGTTTCTGGCATGTTGAGGATTGGTGCTGGTCCATGGACTGGGGGTTGGGGATCCCTGGCTTGGGAGTGCTATAAAGCACTATGAAACAGCACATAAGTCTAAGTGCTATTGCTATTATGACTATAGGCTTACATGGAATTCTCTGAGGTGTAGTCCCAAAACATTATGATTTTCATATCTCTTAACATCTTTCTTTACCACCACCACCCAAAAAAAGAGCAAGTTATGCTGACATTTTTATTTATGTTTCAGAACAAAAGTTAATTTGGCTATATTCTGAGCAAGCAAGGTATTATTCATTCAGAATAGACTTCACCACAAAATATATATTA